AGAGTCTTTGACTTGAGCACTATTTGCTCCGATGACTCAGTTCGAATACATGAGGGGTCGGAACAAGAGCCGACCAAAAATTTCTTCTTCCAGTCATTTATTTTGTTCTCTACTCGGAGCAAGTGAAGTTCTTATCCTGTTGAAAACATGAACAATCACTCCTTATTGACTTTAAATGAAAAGAAATGCGTGAATAGGTCGATTGACCATGAGATGTGCTCCCGACGACTAGAGGACAAAGGTCATCATAAAGCTATGGAGTTCGACAGTACCTGCGCCAGAATGACCCCATATGTATTGAAGATGCTCTAGAGCTCGCTGCATAAAGACAATCAGAAGCCATATTTGAACAGGTCCCGGTAGAAGACCAGATCTCCGCCCATAACGTCCGTCGCCCGAGTCGACCTCAACAACTTTCGAAAAGTGATGCTGTTGTGCATTACATACTTCTTCTGCAACTTCTTCACCTCATTCTTCGTCAAGAATGAATGATCAACGCTCTTGACGGAGCCGAAGAGGGTGGGGAGTACATCAGGACAATTTCAGAAAACAAAGAGCGGTCGGGAGGATAAACAAGAGAGGAAGGAAAATCAAAAGCTCGGATATAGGATTCAAAATGCGTAAAGTAAGGAGCAACAGTTCTGTGCCTTATTTATAGGACAAAAGTGTAAAATGATGTGTCACATAAGGATAAATGTCACACCAAACATCTTTTCAAAGTTATTCAAATCTCGTTTCATTTCCAAATAACATTATTACAAGTCTAAGATAAAGTGTTTTATGAATGGGTCTTCCAGCCTCAATCAGAACATACCCCCTCTGAGTTAACCTTCAGAGGACCATCGCCCCTTCTATCCTATGCTATTCCATTCAATCGGCCTTGCGGTAAAATTTAAACAAGCAGTCGACTTGTGAAGTGCTCCCAACTCGCTCAATACTTCATCTAGTCCGTTCCACAAAGTGACGAGTTCCGCCTGCAGGACTGACATGGTTGAGTCCATGAACACTAGAGGGATTAAGTGCCCCCACGAAAAATAGTCGGCCAAGCCTCTAGCCTCTCCCTCCAAAGAACTGACCCTCATCGTCAAGGACCCAATCCCCCCTGTCTGCTGCTCCATGGTTTCAAGAGAAGCCGACCGTTGCTTCATTCGATCATGCTCAATATCAATAGCAACCAAATGGTCGGGCAACTAATATCCTTCCGAAATAACTGCTGACAAGATTCCCACAGCTCGGCCTGTAGACTGGCCACTACAACAAGAACGGATGTCGCAGTGGCTTTTGACTGCCCGCTGTCCTCGTGATCCTCGAACTTCGCCAATTCATATGCATATGAATAATGTCAAGAAACGATTAAAGATTTGTGGAGGCCAAAGAAAGATCTACATACTTATATATCCATTTATTGAGGAAAGGGCCTCCAAACATCTTTTTTCCTCTTCTCTTGTTGTGTGGTGCCTTTACCTCCCTATAATAATGAATGAGAAGGGATACCGCTCCCTGTTTCCTATGACCTCTGTTCACCCTCCTCGGCGCCTCTAGCAAGCAAGGCCTGCTGGTCGGTCCTCAGACCTCACTGTTATGCCAAAGTCTGACCTCCCGATGAGAGGCCTTCGACACCTGCCCCTTGGGATCCCCAGGTGAACGACTTTTTCAGGTGGTGTAGGTTCAATTCTCTACTGTTTTTCTTTCCAAACCCTGCTCTTCTTTTCAAAAATTGAGGGTCCATAGCCCACCTTGACGAGGGTCTTGAGGTTCGCGAGAAACTCTCTTAGATCGTTCGACATGGTGCAATTCAATTATCAAAGGAAAAATAAGAGCAACAAATGCAATGCCAAGCATTTGACTCTATTTATAGAGCACGCTAGGCACAAAAATCCAACGAAAAGAAAATTATCAAATTAATTTTCTCGAATTTAGTACCAACGAATGCTAGTATTTTTCCTATCCTTATCGCAACTATCAATTTAAAGGAGCAGGAAAAATTTGGGGAACTAATATGTTTGCACCAAAGCTTTCAGGATAGATCTCAAAGCAATCGAATGGCCTAAATGATAGTCAGACGATCGAGGCGTCCTGCCGTGATACTATTTGTATGATCAAAAATCGACCGTCACACTATGACGAGAGCACCGAACGACAGACCACGCTTGCAGTCCCAACCAACCAGAGCACAGGAGGGAACCCTTGATCGTTACTATTCGTCCGACCCACTTTTATCACAGAGGACGAGTTCGCCACTCGACTAGGTGCCTCGACCGACCAACACAAGGCGCGGTTGCTTCATTTTGGTCGAATTCAAGCAAGTCAGTCAACCAATTACCGTCATATTATAATTCAAATTCTAATATAGATATTATATGAAATCAATACGATTAATTAGAACATCAATGATATTAAAAACAGTTTCCATAACTGTCCCTCCTTTCTGTAATTATATAAAGTACGCCTCTATAAATAGGAGGCAAAAATATGAATAAATGACCTCCTGATTCTCTCTACAGTGAGTTTTGGACTTATTCTACTCTTTCTTTCTCTTTTCTCCTTCGTCCGGCTCTAACTCTTAGGTTGCGTTCACAAAAGACAATTTAAGATCCAATATTATTGATGTTATAATGAATCACATGGATTTCATACCATATCTGTATTACAGTTTGAATTCTAATAAGATGGTAATTGGTTGGCCAACTTGCCTGAATTTGGTCGGGTGAGGATATCGCGCTTTGTGTTAGTCGGTCTAGGTGCCCGGTTGGTAAAAGTGGATCAGTCGATTAACCACGATCAAGGGTTCCCGCCTGTGCTCTGATTGGTCGGGACTGCAGGCGTGATTTACCTTTCACATCTCTCGCCATAGTGTGTCGGTCGATTCTTGATCATGCGGTTGGTTCTAGGATTGTAGGATGCTTCAATCGTTTGATCGTCGTCCGGGACGTTCGATTGCTTTGAGATATGTGGTGACAAATTTGTTGTATACATATATCACAAAAGATCATCATGCTTGGTAATAATCACATAAATTATTTGCTGATCATAAATAGATTATTGATGAATATAAATCAACAAGTTAGATTATATTTTTGTTTAATTTATTCAACTTAAGAGCTTAAAAAAATGCAAGCATTTTCCTTAGGCATTTTGAATTAAATGAGTATTAATTGTCTAATTAAAATACTTGATAAGTTCAAAGTCTTCTACATCAAAATATATAATTAAAATTAATGTAGTAATTTTGATATATTTGTATAAGGAAAATGTGTTAGCACAAATCTTAAAATAATTTGACAACCTAAAAAATAATGACATGGCAAAATGGGGCCCATCAGAAGCAACCCGCCGACCCAAAAGACTAATCGACTCAAGCTAGCCAATGACCATAAAATCCGATTCAACAATACATGCCCAAAAAAACATCCTGATGCCAGAGACAATCGAGGGTTCCTCGGGGCATCATGGAGCCATGAGCTTTAACCAACTTCCTCGAGATCTCCTCGCCCAAAGGGTAAATAACCTGTCGGGTTACGGTGGCTCACCCTCTGCCTAATGGTTTATTTTTACTCAGTTGATAAGAATTATCTACGCGAGAATTGAGGGTTGACGACCAAATCAATACATTCAGCTAGCTAGTGCCAACCAACCGAATCAATCCTATTGATTATTAGATATCCAGTTGGTCGTCCCTGCCTGAAAGGTCAATTGATTGATAGTCCCTATCCATCTGACTGGCCGACAATGCTGATTGCTTCACCTTGTCAGCCTCGTAGACCGAACCAAATAACAACAAAGTTTTGGGGCTTAGAGGAGTATAATCCATAAAATAATATGCAAACACCATATTTAAATAGGGGCATAAATATAACTTCAATTTTATTACTCTCTTTATTTATAAAGAGTAAACCGTTTAATGAATAAAATGTCACCTAATTTTCTTAATTTACGGTTCATTTGTGTATGGATTCAAAAATATTTTTTTAAAATAGTACGTATTAAAGTAAAAAAAAATTAATATAAGTTTAACTCATGGTCGACTAGGCTTTCGTCTTGGAAAAAATATTACATCAAGATTATGCATGCAGAGCTGCTTGCGGAGTCCAATCTCGACCTGACACGTGGAAAGCCGGACCAACCTCCATAAAAAATGAAAAAATGAAAACGCGCGACCCGACCCAACCGTATTATAAGAATATTCCCTTCACATTATTCTGAATATTTTTCGCGTTATTTATGTGTTATTGAGGTGATTGTGTGATATTATTGTTCTTTAAACAATAATACAAATAATACATGAATAACGATAAAATATTACCTCAATAATACAACAATAATACATGAATAACACACCAATGACACATTAAAAACTCACGATCCACTCTATCGTGTTATAAGAATATTTCATTCACGTTATTCTGAATATTTTCTGTGTTATTGGTGTGTTATTGATGTGAATTATGAAGAACGACATTCTCAAATATTCTCAAATATCACCCTTTATATTTTATTTATTGATTTATTTGTTATAATGAGGTTTATTAATTATTTTTCTGAAGTTTATGGTTGATAGTATTTTTTTTAGCCCATACAATAAAGACATAAATTTTTATAGTAATATGTATCATTTTTAAAGTAGAACAATAATGTAAATTAATCATTTATAAATAACTAAATTATCATTATATTCCTATAACACATCAATACTACATGAATAACGCTAAAAATATTAAGAATAACGCGAAGAAAATATTTCTATAACACGGTTGAGTCGGGTCGTGCGTTTTTAATGTATTTAGTGTGTTATTCATGTGTTATTATTGTGTTATTGAGATAATATTTTCTGTGTTATTGTATGTTATCTATATTATTTTTTAACATATTAATAATACATCAATAATATAAAAATATTGAGAATAATGAGAAGAAAATATTCCAACAACATCATCTCGCGATCTCCCGTATATATATATATATAAATATATTTTCATTTTTTATGGCTTCTTAGCGTCCAGACTCCAGCGCTTCGAGGCCTCTGGGTCATTCCAGTTTCTTCTTCTAACTTCAGAGTTCCCTCCGTCACGATCCCAACTCCATGCCTTCCTCTCGATCGATCCATTGCCGAACTCCTAATCTCTAATAGATGCTGAATCTCTTCCGCAGATCCAACCCTTCATCCCTCTCCTCCATTGCCTCCAAAATCACTCGATTCAAAAACTCCCATCTTACTCACTCCACTCCCTACACCTTGCCCTCCACTTCCCGATCCGCCATCGCCGGCTCCGCAAGATGGTGGCAACTACCCTATCCGACGAAGCCGGAAGTCTCCTTTCCCGGAGGAGGCGTTTGGCGGCGCTCTTACTACATCGCTCGCCCCGAGCTCCAGCACTTCCGTCGTCGCCAGGTTCCGCGATGGTACGAAAACCCTCGAATCGTTGTTGTCGTCGTCCTCGTAGGAGGCGGCGCAGCTTTAACCATCTACTACGGGAACATTGAGACCGTTCCTTACACCAAGCGCTCGCACTTCATCCTCCTCTCCCCCTCCGTCGAGCGCCAGCTCGGAGAGGCCCAGTTCAATGAAATCAAGTCCGCTCTCCGTGGCAAGATCCTCCCGGCTCTCCACCCGGACAGCATCCGCGTCCGGCTCATCTCCAAGCAGATCATTGAGGCCGTGCAGCGCGGCTTCAGCCATGGAGATCGAGGATGGGGCGACATCGATTACGCATCAGAGCAATCTTTGCCGGATTTCGCGTCTTCCGCCTCACCGGAGAAGTCAGGGGGCACGATTCGGGCACTTTCTGGCAGCAATGAGGAGGTGCGGTGGAGCAAGGAGGACGAGGTACTTGATGATGAGTGGGTGCATAATAGTCGGAAGGAGGGCAAGGCTCGGGGATCGCAGTCGTCTACTCGTCATTTGGAGGGATTAAACTGGGAGGTAGTGGTTGTGAGAGATGACATGGTTAATGCAATGTGTCTTCCTGGAGGAAAGATTATTGTGTTCACCGGTTTGCTGGATCACTTCAGGACCGATGCTGAGATTGCTACGGTGATCGGGCACGAGGTTGTTTCTTCTGAACCTTGAGTTTTGCTAGTCGGGACGACGATGGTGTTTTCGTGCAAGTGAAATTAAATTTTGTTTCTCTTGGTCATTCGTCTAGGTTGGGCATGCTATTGCTCGGCATTCAGCGGAAGGGATCACAAAGAATTTGTGGTTTGCGATACTGCAGATAATTCTTTTGCAGTTCTTTGGTATGCCAGATGTGATTAATGCCATGTCTAATCTGCTTCTCAGACTTCCATTCTCTAGGAGGTATATTTGTTCTTTAATCCTCAACATTTTACTTGTTTTTAGCTGCAGTCCTGTACGTCAGTTATCTCCTTTAGGTAAAATTACTATGAGTCATGGTGAAGCGACTTGTATTGTTTGTTGCCATTTAAATTGAGACCCAAAAGCTGGTGAATCAGGCCATAAGGCTCATGCCAATGCAGGATCTCGGAGGGTTGATGGATTTAACCTTCTTCTAGCACTCTAAGATATCTTTCTCATGACTAGAACCCTCACTTAGGTCATAATGGAGGCAACTAACCATTGCTCTAAGTCCGCTCTCTTAAATAGACACGTTCTCATAAATAAATTACTGGAAACATGAGCTCAGGGTTTGAGCAGCTTCTAAATGTTGTGTACTCTATGAGGAGTATTGTCATATGTGAGGGAGAAAAAAAAATTATTGTTGCACATGCTGTCAGAAAGTGCACAATTTTAAGAATAAAACAAACTGATAGGAATTTGCAAATTTAATATATCCAGCCCTAAGCAGTATACTTCCTTAAGATATTCTCCAATGCAAGCTGTATCCATTGTTTTAATGATTTTTTTTTCAATTATTAAGGTCTTCAATTTCTTTAGGGTCGTCAAATTCAATATAGTCTTCAAGGACAATGGTGGCTTCAGGGACGATAAAGTATGGTAGTCTATAGAAGTTTTGAAAATTATTAAAATATTCAAAAGTATTGGGAAGTGTGGAACCCATACTTGTCAATGGTCAATGATACATCACAGCGTAAAGGTCTCCATTGAGCAATATTGCTTAGCACATAGGGCAATGCACTTCATTTTAAATGGTATAAAATATTGAAAATTATAAAAAAAATATAAATATGAAATAATATTAAAAAATAAATAAGTTGACATGGCAAGAAAAACAACATAAATAATTCGTAAACTCAAATGCTCAATACCTCAATACTTAAAATTCAAAATATTATGATTTATTGATAAGCCTGGTATTTTCAGAAGCAATCAAAGTGGTTATTCAAAGAATTATTATCATCATCATAAGTCAAAAAATAAATAAATAAATAAAATATCACTTCATCAAAATCATTATAAACACGTAAAGCATAATCATCATCATCAAGCAAATGAAGCTCACTATAATGCAAATGACATAATGTGGACAGTTTTTGGACAGTTTTTTGCCCCATATATGTACCTATGCATATATATATGTGTGTGTTATGTATATCATTGTGTGTATTTGTATTATGTAACATTTTGTCATAATCTAATTAAAGCATACTTATAAAAAATATATATTTCACTTTCAAGGAAAATTAGAGTATTTTTGATGTGTTATATAAATAAATATTAAATTTTAAATGATAGATATGCAAAATATACAAGAATTGAATTGTATATATGTTTTTTTTTTATTTTTCAATATTAAATTTAAAAAATCAACCTAATGTGTGCCATGAGCGCAATGCATCGTGGCCATTGTCCATGTAAATGACTCATATGGTGCATGCACCATGTTACCCTTCATTTTGCGTCATTGACATGTATGTTGAAAGAAACAAAATAGAGTGAAAGATAAGCAGCATTTTTTTGGTGGTCAATTTTCTTAGCGAACTAGTTTAATCTTGAGATGAGAGCTGATTGGTTAATATTCATAGATCAGCAAGGGTAATACAAACTAAGGATAGACAAACCTCTCAAAGATATATATTCCAATATAGGACCCTTTTGTTCCAATAATGATGTTTTCTTAATCTAGAAGCTCTTCAAGACTTTTAGGGTCATCTAAGCCAGTAAAGTCTTTAAAGTCATTAAAGCCTTCAAAGATAACGCGACATCCTAAAGAGTGATGAATTCTTCAAGGATGATGAAGCCTTTAATTTCGTTGAGTTTTCAAAATTACTGAAACATTCATATGTTAGTGGGTAATGAAACAAAAGGGACTAGCGTTAAGTCAGATACACACATAGTCAGACTTATTTCAATCTAAAGTTTAAACCTATGGGTTAGTGTCAATCCCTTGTACATATATACCAACACAATTTAAGGGGCTAAATTTAAAACTTCACATGCCCTAATAATCTTTTCCTCATGTTAGATCTCTTCATGTTGACCTTCACCCATCTTTGAACAGAAGCTTTAGCATGTATCATTTGTATGTAGTCACTAATCACATGAACTTGTCATGAAGGTCACTCTTGAATTTTTGTTAACCATGACAAAATTAATTGAGAACTTATGAGAGTCACATCACTGCATGAATCACTTAAATTATCAGCTTTCATATAAATTTTTAGGGAATCATTATTGATCAAGATACATTAGCAGTCAAACATATTTTCAACCCAAAAGCTTAAGCCTATGGTTGAAAGTCAACCACTTGGTTTTTTCTTTTTTTTCATTATCTTTTTTTACTACCCGATTTGTAACTAAATTCATGTATATGTGCTCATCAAAATTTTCAAAGTCCAGGAAAGAATTATACAAAGGGATGGAAGGAAAAATAGCTAGATAGGCTTGATTTTTTATTATTGGTGCATAAATTTAGCCAACATCCCTTTTTTTAAAGCCATAATTTTATTAATCGTATATAAATGTTGAGACTGACTTAGAGACATATATTCTGAATTGAATGAGTCATATTTTTTTATTAATGATATCCACATAATCCTTATGTCTCGGATAATACTTTTCTTGATTGTTATACCAATAAGGCCTTTTGGTAATACTAAAATGCTTACAAATTTTATCAATAATATACACTCGTCGTATGGCTGTGAGGTTGATGCGACGCAACCATGGTTGCCAACTCATTGAAATATCATTCTTCTAATGCCTAAAGCTTGTTCTGTTTATGCCATCAGTGTTGACATGGATATGAAATTAGAAGATTGCCTCAGATATTAAAGTTGGAAGTCTATTAAAGTTTTTGAATTAGGGAAACATTGAAGGTGTTGGGGAGTAGCTTAGCAAATGAGACCAAAGTTTAGCTAGATACACCAGTATTCAAATCCATTTTAACCTAAAGCTTAAATTTATGGGTGATGATAAATCATTTTTATTTTTACATCAATATATTTATTAACTATTCGATGTGTAACTAAATGTAATGCTTTGCATGCTTTAATAATTTTTCTCACGTGATAGCATTTCACATCAGTCATGACACATCTTCAAATAAGAGCCTTATAAAGTATCGGCTTTTGAATTTTGGTCAATTATAATATATTCAACTAGACACTTTTGAGAGCAGCAAACTCATGAACCAATTGATTTTAATTGAATCATTGATTATAATTTATTTATCAGGAAATATTTAATAAAAAGAAATTATAATTTAGCTTGATACAATATCAAATGAATATATTTTCAACCCAAAAATTTAAGCCTATGAGTGAGAGCCAATAAATTGGTATATTTATCAATTTTTTGTTTAATTTTCTAACCCATCTTGAGCACAATATCTTTTTCGGAGAGGAGTATTATTAAGCAGGTGCCTAAGGAGTAATTTAGTCTTTTATTAGCTTAAGGGCAATTAAATCTTTGATTATTATTGTTGTTTAGTATAACTATAACCTAATATGTTCAATGTTAGATATGCATGAGATTGTGTATGGTGTTTTAGGTTAGGGGTTGGGAGTGATTTACTATTCCTTGAATTGTAGGAATAGGAAGAGATCACCTACCTTTTGAATTGTAGGTGTTTATTTTTGTATTCATATTTAATGTTTGATGTTCTTGAAATAAAATATTATTTACTGTAATTTGTGCCGAGAATCGTATTAGTCTGTTACCTTTTTTAATGCTTAAAGCATGATCTACTTGCGTTGGTGCTGTTGATATGAATAGGAAGAAGAAGATAGGCTCATATATTGAAAGTGAATGTTTATTGAACTTTTCAATGTTACTAAAACATTTATGGTGTTGGGGGATATAAAGAATTAAAAAGGACTAGGTTTGGTCAAAGATGTCAGTTGTCAAACCTATGCGTCATAATCATCCACTCGCATTTCTACGTTGATCTATTTTTAAACTTTTTGAAGTGTTACAAAATATAAAATTTCATATGCCTTGATAATCTCTCTCATGCGAGAGAGCTCTCCACAATAACTATCTCACATCTTTAAACAAAAGCTTTGTTTGTATCAACACAAAGAGCACTATATTAATTTCTTGAGCTTGTTGTGATAGTCACTTGCTAGACTCTATTGCATGAATCGCTCAATCTTGGTTCAAACATTGCTTTCAAAATCACTTGTTAGGATAAAGGGAATTATAATTGTGTTAAATACACTAGAAGTTAAATTTATTATAAGTGCGACAAATTTGAGTCTAGAGGTTAGAGCCAACTTCTTGGTATTTTTATAATAATATATTTTTTATCTATCTGATGTGGGACTAAACCCAAAATTTAGTGTCTTAATACAAGGTTTTAAGCATTTGTGGTCATCAGTGTTTCCAGAGTCCTAGAAAGAAGAACAAGAAGAGATGGAGGGGAAACAAATAGCTATACGAAGTTTAGTTGGTTAAGTTTGGCCCTCAAAATCAGTCTTCATCCCTTTTTTAAAACCATAATTTTATTAATCCTTCAGAAATGTTAAAGTTGTCTTGGAGAGAGATCGATTTGTAGTTTCAATGAGTCATGCTTTTTTTGCTGATGATGCTTCAAACCCTCAATTCTCCTCATTGCCCATTATTCTAATTCTAATTAGAAACCATTCATTTGAATTAGAACAATGGGCAAAGTGGAGAATTTCATGTGAGGGACAGATGATTGAGATGCACATAATAGCGTAAAATATTCACTTACAATTGATAGCAGAACATGAGTCGAGCTCTTAATATACTAGTTGTGTCTAATAGCAATTAGATATGTTTTTTGGCTTAACAAAGTTTTTTCTCGGTTTTAATTGTGAACCATTAATTAAGTGTATTCCCTTGGAATTTTCCCTTTTTATTGGTAGGATTAGACTCTCTATTTTACTGGCATAGTTGTCTCGAGTGTGGAAGGGCTCTCTTTCTGGTGTAAACACTCAAGATAGGGCTACATCTTGTTGGTTGGACGTGACGCATGAGGTGAATATGGTATGCAATATTGTGCAAGAGAGTTCTTCCATTTTAATAGATGTCATAGAGGCTCTAATCTTCCTAAATAATGTAAGATTTATATACTTACCACTCAATTCTTATGTATTCATATATTTAATAACTAAATTTCAATTTTACATACATGCCACCTTACTTTTTACAAGTTAAAATAGTGGTATTTTTATGCGATCTGAAAGATTTATGTGGTGTAAAATGTAAAAATCAAAGTTACCTTAACTATGCAAGAAGCTCTATTTCACTTTTTAAAAGTTAAAATAGTGGTGTTTTTTATGTGATACAAAAGGTTTATTTGGTGTAAAGATAAAAATCAAAGTTTAATTGTTAGATATATAAATACATAGGAATTGTGTGGTATATATGTAAATGCCTCACATTGTAATTGTATTCTTGCATGACCAGTGCCAGCCTTAACTGTCTTTCATAAAGATAATATTCTCATCTTGTTAATCACCTTTCCATCTTTTCAGGTTGCAAATGGTAAACCAGGACTAAAGTTAAGTAATGTCTTGGTAAAAATATGTTTTTAGATATATTTATAAATTCCCATGAAATCAAATTACCTGGGAAGTTTTTTGTTGCCTGTAAAGCATGATTAAATTTTGACCATCCTTGTTATTATTGATTGCTTGTGCTTGCTTCTAAATGCAACTTTTATTACCTTTTTGGAGATTTTTGCGCTTCTGTTTACCAGTCCTAAAACAGGAGTTACATTTGTTTAAAAAGAATTTTCCAGCTGATTCATGATATTGTTTACTGTTTTATGCTATGCTACCTCTCTTCATCTCATATGCTATATATTAATCTAGTGACATTTACATATGTGGCACACAATTCTAATGTATTTACATATAAAACACCTAAACTTTGATATTTACACACATAACACTCAAATCTTTAATATTATATTAAAAATAGCACTATTATCACTTTAAAAGTGAAAACACATTTTCATGCATAGGTTTAAAGCACTAAAGTGTTATGTATGTGAATATGAAAGTTTAGGTGTGAGATGTAACTACAGAAGAATTGTGTATTGCGTATGTAAATTTCCCATGTATAATTTTTTTCTTTTGTATTTATAAGTTCTGAAAGAATGTCTAATTTAGTTTATAAGTTCTGAAAGAATGTCTAATTTAGTCTTAAAAAAGCATTTTTAAGAATTAATGATTTCATGGGATGTGAGATTCTTTTCATTCTTGATAATGTTCAGGATGGAAATGGAGGCGGATTACATTGGGCTTCTGCTCGTGGCATCGGCAGGATTCGACCCTCGTGTTGCTCCTCGAGTCTACGAAAAGCTGGGGCAGATTACTGGTGATTCTGCTCTCAGGGATTACCTCTCCACTCATCCTTCCAGCAAAAAAAGAGCACAGATTTTGTCTCAAGCGGAAGTCATGAATGAAGCTCTCGCATTGTACAGGGAAACTATTGCAGGCCACGGAATAGCAGGATTCCTCTAAGTATCATCCTCGTGAGTTCTTATTTTATCAGGGCATTTGCATACATGCCACCCAATTCTTATGTATTAAGATGTTTAACACCTAAACTTTACTTTTTACATTTATGCCACCAAATCTTTCACATCAGATAAAAAATACCACCATTTTAACCTTTAAAGGGTTTACTTCTTTTAATGCATAGATAACGTGACTCATTTATAAAAATTGAAGTTTTGGAGTTAGATATATAAATATAAAAGAATGAGGTATGTATGGAAATTTTCCAATTAGGTTTCAGTTGCAATTTTGCTTACCAGAATTGCTATTATTTACCATTTACTATTATCTTCTTTGCTCAGATTGAAAGATGAAAAAATGGAAACATTACTCGGATAAATTGCTATGGTGATAGAGATCCATCTGTTGTGAGCATAGTTCGAAGCCGCAGCATATCAAAGGTTGCGTGTTGTCGCCATGATACAGGTATAGTGTCTATTGATTTTTGAGAGAAAGCAGGTAAATGCAATTCTTTTTTATATCATTAAAATAGACAAATTGTGAACTTGTTTTATACTTTGAATTTTAAATATTGCTGATGTAGGCTTCAATAATTGTATTCTCATTTCGTGCTGTATGCATCTGTTCTGCTCTATTATTGGTGACACTTTACTGCAGAGCCGGCTTTGATAAATTTCCAGTAAAAAGATATTGGTGGATGGTCCACATTACAAAGGTTCGTCATTTCTTATTTTATTAATATATATAACAAGACACTTTGATATTTATAATCACTTCAAAATATTACATGAATCACTTTTAAAAAGTTAGTATCGGTTATATATTTGGTAGGGTATAGAAGATTTGAGTGTTATAGGGATATAGAAGACTTAGATATGTAAATTCATAAGAATTGTCTTGTGTGCTATGTAATTTTTTTTACCGTGTCAATATGGTCTTTTGGTTGGATATATTCATTAGTATTAACCCTTACAGCAGAGCTCATATGATCCGATCAGGTACACTTTGTAATTGCAAAGCATTTGCATGGGATATTGCCACAAACCGCATGATCTTCTCACTAGTTTTGTAAATGGAATTTATCTGAAGCTAATCTTGAGCATTTTTTTATTCAGGATTGATCTCGTACTAATTGATTTTGTACTCTTTTTGATTTTTTAGAGTATAATAAATTAACATTTGCCGGTCCCAAGCCCGGATGTTAAAAGTGAGGGTTGTGTTAGGTAGCTGACAGCTAGTGCAAATCTTATTGAAAAAATCAGGACATGAATCCTTTTGATCATTGTGTAAGTGCTAGAGCTTCCCCTGAAAGCGACGCGATGTATGATCCGAATACAGTGAAAAGTGTGCGGAGCCCGAGTGTAGTGTCAAATAAACAAGTGTTCCCACATTACAGACAAATGTGAGTAAAGAAGTTAGTCCATGAAATTAATATTAGGATAAGACCTTGGAATATATGTACTCTTACTCGTAAATTAATGAAATAAATTGATATTATAATTCATCGAAAGATAAGTATCTTATGTGTTCAAGAAACTAAATGGGTTGGAGAAATGGATAAGGAGATTGATAACTTAGATTTTAAACTTTGGTATTCAGGTAAGAGTCGCACTAGAATTGGGGTAGGTGTAAGAAAAGTGTGCAGCGCCCGGGTGTAGTGTCAAATAAACAAGTCTTCCCACATTACGGATGAATGCGAGTTAAAGAAGTTAGTCCATGAAATTAATATTAGGATGTGATCTTAGAATATACGTACTCTTACCGGTAAGTTAATGAAATTAATTGATATTATGATTCATAGAAAGATAATTATCTTATATGTTCGAGAAACTAAATGGGTTGGAGAAATGGGTGAGGAGATTGATAACTTAGGTTTTAAACTTTAGTATTCAGATAAGAGTCTCACTAGAAATGAGGTAGGTGTAATTATAGATAAGAGTTTGAAAGATAATTTTGTAAAAATTAATAGAGTTAGAGATAAAATTATAGTCTTTAAGATTATTGTTGATATTAAGATTTTTAATATATAAATATTTCTGCTCCTTAAGAATTTTTATTGGAGGAGATTTAAATGAACATGTCGGTAGAGTGGTATAGGATTTTAGAAATATTCATGGTGGCTATGGTTTTGAAGTGATTAATGAAGGAGGTGGAGCTATATTAGATTTTTGTTTAGTGTATGATTTTGTTATTGCTAATACTTTATTCAAGAAAAGAGATGAACATATTATTACTTATAAGCATGAATCTAATAAAACACAAATTGATTATTTTCTTATGAGAAGAAGCGAGACATAATTAAATTTTTTTATGAGTAAATTTCAATATTTCAAAATTTGGATGTTCATGAGGAAACAAATTCTATGTGGGATAAATTAATAAAAACTATTAAACAAATGACATAAGTTGTACTTGGAGAATCATAAGAAAAAAATTTTATAAATAAAAATAGTTGATGGTAGAATAATACTGTACAAGAGAAGATAAAATATAAGAAGATATTTTATAAAAATTAGTTTAAATGTAAAAAATTAGATAACTGAGAAAATATCAAATAGCATGTAGGGAGTTTAAGAGAACAATCCGTGATGCCAAAAGTTATGCTTTTAGTTATTTTTATAATAAGGAGGGTGAAAAATATATGTATAAACTAGCCAAAGGGAAAAGAAAAGTGGAGATTTAACTCAAGCAAAATATATTAAAGATGAAAATCGAACAGTGTTTTTCTTAGAAAAAGATATTCAAAATAGGTGGGTGAGTTATTTTGATAAACTTTTTAATTTATAGGTGGGTGAGTTATTTTGATAAACTTTTTAATGAAGTTTCGGAAAATATAATCGACCTTAGTGATCTTAATATCATTAATAATAATAAAATGTTTCATTATTACCGTTGAATTAATAAAAAAAATTGAGAAGGCTTTAAAGAAACTAAGGGTGGAAAGTCTGTAGGATCTAATGATATCCCAATTGAAGTGTGAAAATATTTAGGAGATTTTGGAGTTTCTTGGCTTACTAAACTCTTTAATATTATTTTAAAAACTAAAAAAATGCCTGAAGAGCGGAGGAATAGTATTTTGGTCCCCATTTTTAAGAATAAAGGGGATGCACAAGTGTGTGTCAATTATAGAGGAATTAAGTTGGTGTGTCATACTTTAAAATTATTTGAGAGGGTAATTGCACATAGGTTAACGTATTACAAAGATTTCTCATAATCAATTTGGATTTATTTCAGGTAGGTCTACTATGGAAACTATACATTTATTGAGAGGTTTGATAAAGAAGTTCAGAGATAATAAGGAGGATCTACATATGATTTTTTATTGATTTAGAAAAAGCTTACGATAAGGTTTCAAGAGATATCATTTGGAGAGTTTTTGAGAAAAAATGTGTTGATATGACTAATATTCAAATCATAAAAGATATTTATACAATAAGTGTTACTTGTGTTCGAACAGAAGGAGAATTAACAAAATATTTTCCTAATTCTGTTGGTTTACATTAGGGATAAACTTTAAGACCATATCTTTTTGCTTTAGTTATGGATGGTCTTACTAGACACTTACAGGAGGATGTACATTGGTGTATGCTTTTTGCTTACGTGAATAAGACGAGAGAAAAAGCTTAGAAGAAACTTGAATTATGTAGGTCTACATTGGAGTCTAAAGGCCTTTGTTTGAGTAGAACTAAAACTGAATACATAGAATCTAATTTTAGTAGTAGTAGCCATAGTGACATAAATGTAATTATGAGTGGTCAAATTGTTAAAAGGTGCGAACGCTTTAGATATCTCGGGTCTATTGTTCAAAGTGATGGTGATATTTATGGGGATGTTATTAGTAGAATTCAAATTGGCTGGTTGAAGTGGAGGAATGCTTCGGGCCTGTTGTGTGTAGAAAAGTACCGCTTAGACTGAAAAGAAAAATGTATAAGATGGTGGTGAGACCTGCAAATGCTCTATGGCGTTGAATGTTGGCCTTTAAAAGAGAAACATAAAACTAAGTGTTGTCGAGATGAGAATGATTAGGTGGATGAGTGGCTTTACACTTAGAGACAAAACACATAATAAATATCCGTGATAGGGTTGGTATAGCTCCAGTGACAGACAAAATTAGAGAGACTCGTCTTAGATGGTTTTGTCACATTAAATGCTTAGATTCGACTTATGTTAAGAAAGACAAAGGTAGACCTAGGACGACTTGGGCATTCTGTATAAAAAATGATTTTAATTTATTAGAATTAAATGAAAATATGACACTAAATCGGGTGCAATGGAGAAAAAGGATTCATGTAGCCAGCCCCCACTTAGGGCCTCCAGCCCCCTCTTAGGGCCTGTTTGGGGCAGCTTATTTGGTGTGGTGGTGTTTTGAAAACACGCCTGAGCTGTTTGGATGAACTGCGTTTTGGCAGCTTATGCGTTTTCAAAAAGCTAAAAATAGCGTTTTCACACCGCACCTGTCTAGGTGTGGTGACAGCTTTCTGGCTGGTGCAGTGACAGCTTTCTAGCTGCGGTATTACTTTCCAAAAAAAATAAAAATTTGTAATAGCCACTATTACACTTAGCTTATCAACAGATTATTTTTAATCAGCTTATCAGCAGATTATTCAACAAGTTGCAGCTGCCCCAAACAGACCCTTAGTGGGATAAAAGTTGCGTTGACGTTGAGAGTATGATAAACTATTGATTTGTGTGCCATATTTTATTTTTCAGGAATATTATGATGCCATAAATAACTTAATTTTATAGCCTACATGAAAGGTAAGAAATCTTCAGACAGCAGTGCTAATGGGCTTAATAATATTAAAAAATTGGGAAATTGCAGTATTTTCATTCGACCATAAATAAGCATGAGATTTGCTCCACAAGGAGTGTAAGTAGTGAAATTTTAGAATCAAAGTTCATATGTTTTTAATCATTCGATCATAGTTACGATGAGAAAAAGAAAACCTAATAAAAGGGGGCATTTGCATGCATACCTTTCAATTCTTCTTTATTTATATATTTAGCGCTTAAACTTTTTTTTTTTTTACATTTTTACCACCCAAATAGTCATATCACATCTTTTACAAATACCAATTTTTTAACTTTTTAATATATATATATATATTTCTGGGATAATTACATGCATACCACCTTAAATATTGATATTTACAAATTGATCACCCGGGTAATTTTTTTTGAACTATTGATCTGGTGTTTTTGCGCGTCCCTATATTACTATTGAGAATTTGATAAAAATGAAAAATGTGTTGGGGTTTTACCATGAATTTTGATATTTGAGTGAGAATTTGAAAAATTGACGAAAGAGTGAGGGTTCATTTGTAAATAGCATGTTTTCAGTGATTTGTTTGTAATTGCCACATTTACAAAAAAAAATGAACTTTAGGTGTTAGATATGTAAATACATAAGAATTGAGTGTTGTGTATTTAAATTCTCCTTCATAAAAAGTTTTGGAGCATGGGTCCATGGAATAATTCAAAGATCATTAGAACCACCACTATTGTAACAAAACTTTAGATTTGGAATCCAAGTTACACAACATCAATATGACAATTATTGAGAGATTATTAAACTGATACATGGTAGATAGCA